CATGTGTAACTACAAACCCCACTGAAGCAGAAGTAGAGAATATTGAGATTCTTAACTCTTTGCCCCAATGGCTGTTGCTGCCGCCGCCTTTTGTGCTGTTCAGACTTTCAAAGGAATCCTTGTGAGTCACTGAGACATTTCAATAAATCCAGTTTGTGGCAATTAAAATTTGGACTTACGTCAGAGAAGGAGTAGCCAGAACACAGCCATTTCCCTGAAGCTATGCAGACACACATGCCTTTCTCACTCTTTGCCAAAACCCCTGGAATCACTGTGGGGCTTTGGTGCTGCTGCAGTTTCCAAATCCCTGATGCTCCCAAAGGCTGCAAAACTGGAATAGCAACTTAGATGGAGGGTGCTTGCCACCTTCTCTCCTCCACCCCATGGCTGTATTCTTGTGCATCTAGCAGCATATGGAAATGCAGAAATGCCCTAGTACATCAATAAACTACTGGGCCAAGAGCAAAAGACAGGCCCTGATGGCTCACAAGAATGATCCATGCCATGACTGTGGCCCACAAGATGCCTCTCTGAAGCCCACAGATGGGACTTGAAAGCAATGGCTGTCATTATCTCCTCCTCCTAGCCCTGGTTGGTATATGACGGGGCCCCATGAATTTAATAGGGTTTTCTTATGTAAGAAATACTCAGAGGTGGTTTGCCAGTTCCTTCCTCTGAAATAGAGCCTGAAACACTTGGCCTTTGTTGGCATTAATCCAGGCATTAACCAGGGCTGACCCTGCTTAGCTTCCAAGATCAGACAAGATCTGATGGTGCCTTTAGGGTATTTATTCAGAGGTAGGCTTGTGTTGGCCATATAGCAAACTACAGTAACATGCAACATCCACAAAACAGTAACATCTTTATTGTTGTTGTTGTTAGCTGCCCGCAAGTCAACCCTAACTGATGGTGACCCTGTGGATGGGACATCTCCAAGACTCCCTGTCCTCCACTGCTCTGCTTGAGTCCTATTAATTCATGCCCATGACTTCTCTGATTGAGGCTATCCATCTGGCATGGGGTCCTCCTCTCTTTCTGCCACCTTCTACCTTCCCTAGAAATGTTGTCTTTTCTAGTGAGTCCTGCCTTCTCATTATGTGTCCAAAGTATGACAGCCTCATCTTGACTTTCGGGGGGAGTTCAGGCTTCATCTGTTCAAGGACCCATTTGTTTGACTTTTCAGCTATCCATGGTATCTTCAGCACTGATCTCCAGCACCACATTTCAAATGAATTGGTTTTCCTCTTACCCACTTTCTTCACTGTCCTGCTCTAACATCCATACATGGTGATGGGGAATACAATGGCTCGTATGATTCTGACTTTAGTGCTCAGTTGTATATATTTACTCTTTAGGATCTTTTCTAGTTCTTTCATAGCTACTCTCTCCATTCCTAGTCTTCTGATTTCTTGGCTTCAGTCTCTGCTCTGATCAACGTCTATACA